GTTCTGTAATTCTGTAGGCATTCCCACATAGCCACTTATCTTGTACCTGGAATTATTTGTTTAATTTATAAAGCCACCCATCCTACCACGGCAGCCCTGGACAGCCCACAACAGTTAAACAATAAAAACAACAACTCTTCAACTACATCAGAAGCTACATCACTGTTGAAATCACTGAGGAATCTGCAGTCATTGTTTGCAGACCTGTCTCATTTCCACAGCCTTTGAAGTTTCTTAGCTTTCTTTCTCTCCCAAAGGCGCTTTTTCAAGAGGCAACTGGATAAGAAGTTTCTTCTGAGGGCTGGAGAAGCTTCTGCCCGGGTCAGCTCCTGAACCACCCAGAAATTGCTATCAGACTCTACTTTTAATATGGAAAGCAAAAATTATTAAATACATCAGGAGTAATCGAAGACATTCAACTAATTTGCTTTCAGTTATATTAATTACCAGATTTAGTTCTGATCGCCACTGGAGCAAGTGGACCTTAGACCAAGTCTGGTTTTGATCTAAGGTTAAGAAGATCTTGTAGACTGAGATCTCTTCAAAGAATGATCATGCTGTTGTATGCTAATAGGGCTATACCTGCCTCTTACAGGTTCCCAGAGATCAAGTAATCGACACCGTGTATTTGTTCCACATGCCCAGGAAGAGGATGATCTCCCTGCGCTTCCTTGCCTGGTATTTTTTGGGTCAGTACAATCATCCTGTGGGCAGTGTTAAGCTGTGCCCCTCTTCCAGTCAGCCACACCACCGTGCATGAAAGAACAATAACAGTTGCTAAATAATTCCTCAGGTACAGTTCTCAGGAAGATACTGATACTGAGGAAAATGTGGAGGAACTGATATCTCATCAAAAGAAGCTGAAACTTTAAATGCAGAATAAGGAGATAACAACTTGGAAACTGCTCAGGCAGGGGCCTCCCTAATTCACTGCACTTTTAAAACTGGGGAGGAGGGGCCACACAACCAGCTTTGCACAGTTTTGTTATTAAAGTCCAAATGCAATAAAAGTAGTTTTATGTCTTCCTGCGGAGTTGAATTCCTGGTCCAGCCTAGCTAGTAAGGCTGGCTGCCCTCATGAGTTTTACAGTTTCTCAAAACCTGCATTGCAATTGGGAATTGGGATGTAGAGGCTGGGGAGTAGGGGAAGGCCTTCCAGATTAGCTTCATGTTAAAGTCTTGACAGTTGAGTTCATTTTCAACCCTGACAAAAATAAATTCTTGCCGCTAACCTAAGCCTAAAGAGATTTCCTCTTTTCTTGAAACCAAAGGAAGTAGGCAAGGCAACTTTTGCTATGGGTTGGATTTTTCTCTCTCTTTTTTCTTTTGCTCAGACCTGAAAATTCAAGGAGAGACTCATGACAGCATTGAAGATGCACGAACAGCACTTCAGCTGTACCGGAAATACATGGAACTGAGCACTGGAGGCTTGGAACCTGAGGAGTTCCGGAAGGTGTTGAAGGGCCTCTATGAAAAAGGGAGAAAAATGGACTGGAAGGTCCCGGAACCTGATGGCCAGAGCAGCCCCAAGAGTAAGTTTCTGCTGCTCGGCTTGTTGAGTATTAGCGTTCGGTGACCCTCAGATAAATGGAAGATTCTGAATCTTGGGAGGAAAAAAACGAAGTTCATTGATAAAGGACCTGGGGAGATAAGGCTTGCCAAAAGTGCATTGGGAGAAAGTGTCAGCTGAATGTGAGCAATCAATGGGATACAGACTATTACAGCCTCTTAAAAAGCCAGGCCAGTCTTTGCCTGGATTAATGGAAACATGACCAGATTATGGAAAATAATATTTCATAGAGAAACTGCAGTGAAAGGCTACCAGAATAAAACGCAATCTATACATATAAAAATGGCCATATGTATGTATGTTCCAGCATAACTCTGGAACGCCTTGAGCAATTTCTACCAAACTTGGTACGCAGATGACTTACTCTCTGGAAACAAATACTGTGGGGGGTAAGACACCCCTAAAACCCCTCGGGGTGTGTTAAGATACAGCCTGTTGTGCCGTAAAACGGCTTCTACCGTACTGCCCTAAAATGGCTTCTACTCTACAGTGGAGTTGCCGTGTTAACAGCTTCACAGTACTCCACAAGGGGGCTC